TAAACTTCAGGATTTACCCAAATTAGTACCAATAATTTAAAGTTTTAATCGATGTTGAGATTCCTTGGTTACCTGAAGACGAAAAGAAGCAAGTATGGCGAATGTTATCGAAATTAGACTAGTTCAGAGATCCTGTCTCATGCCTACACCATTTTTGGAAAGCTCATATACCTTGCAATGTTAATTTCAACCTTGCGTTTCAAGTTCACATTACTTATAAAAAGAAGTTTATTTACCCTCAAGTTTGCCTTCGAACCCAGTTTAATACAAAGTAAAACGTTACCGAATAAGCAAGCGTGAAGTTTCAACTTGGGAATTTTATTTATTTTTCGTGTTAGTGCCTACCTACCGCCGTGCATATGGCAACACTGGGTGTCTATATACACTCGTGTCAGCAGGACGGACGAGTGTTTTGTTGTTGTTCAAGATTTTGTAAATCAAGGTGACCTGAAGAAGGTCATCGAATTTGAGAGACCGGAAAAGTTTTTCTATTTACACGGTTTGACATTAACGAAAATGTTAGAGACTCAATCAATACTAATGTTTTTCAGATATCATTAAGAAAACATACATACAGTCGAACATAGAACCTCCTCCCTTTTTGAAGTTGGTTAATAAATTACTTACTATGTTTGGAATTTAGGCAGTGATTTTTCATTTTTGCTCTGCACCAATTACTCGTAGCGTGATGATATAGCCTATATATAGCCTTCCTCGATGGGCTATCTAACGCTGAAAGAATTTTTCAAATCGGACCGGTTAGTTCCTGAGATTAGCGCGTTCAAGTAAACAAACAAACAAACTCTTCAGCTTTATAATATTAGTATTTATTTATTCACAAGGTAAAATGTGTTGTTACCTACCTACTTGTTCTAGTGGCTCTGGTTATACCTACTTTTAAAAAAATAGAGTCAAAAAGATACAGTCCCTACCCTACACTACAGTTACATACACTAACGATATGTACAGAACCCTAAAAATGCAATCGAAACTATATTCTTAACTTTTCATCTCTTTTTAGCCTTCTGTCAGAATTAATTGCACAAAATAGCAGGTCCTTGCACAAAATAGCAGTTCAGTTCAAAATAACGACTCAGTATAAGTAAAGTAGGGTCGCCCTACCCAGGTAGGTGGGTCTGGGAACATACCCTACGGTCCTGGAGCTGTCACTCACGCCACAAAAAAACGGTTTCCGTGCAAAAACGCTCCTTTGAACATCGGAGACTGCGGCGGCTTGAATGAGGTTCCAAATTTGAATTTGGAGGAGAAATTATAAAAAGGTATGTGGTACTGGAGCTGAGAATCAATTTCAGTTTAGGAGGAACAAAGTTGACATAGGAAAAGAGTGCTTTTAAAGAAGGACAGATACATTTGTAGCGAATTAGAAATCTCTATTTTTTATATTTATTAATGTTACAGGAAATGTATGAAATCCGTCAAGGTATACAATTCCTAGGATTTGTGTATAAGTCCTAAAATCACCCGGAAATGTGTGATGTAAATTATATTAGACACATTTCCTAGGAAATTTACACATTTCCTAAACAGCAATCGTAAATGTAATTAAGAGTTATTTTTTTTCTCCGAAACTTAAATGGCGCTACCGCGCCGCGGCCGCTCTGTATGTGTAAGGTCGCAAGTCTAACCTAACCTAACCGAGACTTTGTTATCCAGCTACAGGAGTACTAAAACCTTCATGTCAATAATAGTTTAATAAAAGAGATGTTAAAATTAGGGTTTTCCAATACTTCAGCGTAATATGCGTGATGCCGAAAGAAAGGTATGCCAATAGGCAAATATTTTTTTCAGCCGAAGTATAATAGTGCGAAAACAACTTTCAGGTTAAACAATAATAGTTGTGAGTTAAAAGTACCTATCGGCCAATGTGGTTTGGCTAAATGAAATTTTATTCGTACTGAGGGGCACCCGATCACACGACCGCGCTTGTGCTGCTTAGTTTTATACATTTCCTAATACAATATTGGAATTCTATAAAATTCCTAGGAAAAGTATACATGTCCTAGGATATGTGCGTATTAAAAAATCTGTGAAGCAATATTTTATACATTTCCTAAATAGCTTCGGAATTGTATACATTTCCTAGGAATAGTATACAATTCCTAGAATTCATACATTTCCTGTAACATTAATACTAAATACGAAGTTGTGGGGAAGAAAAACAACACTAATTTGATCGTTTCTAAATAATATGCAAATGGATGTGAAAAAATCTAAGCCTCTACCAGGTTTTCAAATCGAATTAGGTATTGGCGTAAACTTTAATGTTCACTAACAATTAAATTTAATAAATAAGATCTATTATCAGAATTTTCACCATGTATTTCTGTAATTTCATGATAACTGTGACAAAATATTTATCTTCAAAAATTGTTGGTACAATAAACACTGGCATCTACGAGTATTATAGCTTAAATAAATGCTATTTAACGAAACATAATACACGAGTAGTTAATTACTTAATGAACCTAAAATAGTACCATAAGTTCATAAACATTAAATAAATAAAATAAATTGAAAATGTGTATGTAGGTAGACCAAGCCGTAATATTTACCTGCTTCAATCCCACATTACAAAATTATATTCTATAAAATTTACAGATTTCAATGTTATCACGGAAAATACATTGGTATATTTTCCATTTATTAAGTGAAATCGCTTGGTTCATAAGTTTCCTGTTTCATGAGCTCCCGATTTTATTTTTGCTTATTTAGGAACAAAACAGTCAACTAGGTAATGCGACCTAATCGAACGAAAAGTTATGATTCGAAAGCTAAAACGAATGTCACATTGTCTAGTCAATTTTCCGAGATGACATAAACGGGAGCTAGCGTCCCAATAATGAAAGTCATATAACATTATTTGTCTCGTATCCTTTTAATATTAAGAATCATCCTCACATTTTATTATTCACCTAACGTTTTCCCATAACTGTAGCGAGAAACGAACCATAATGTTACACAAAAATAAAATAAAAAAAGCATTTTAAGGCCAAAACCAGTCATGTGGAACGGAGGGCCTGCATGTCCCACGCACACAGCCAACTCAGCTGATTTACATCTTGATGAACCAACACGGTAAAATAAACTCTATCTTGTTCTACAAAGAATCGTCTTTCGAAGAGATACGGAGTGGTTTTTAACCTGGTACCGCTGTTCATGAGAAAATGCGCTTTATTTGTATCGTTGTAGAGTCTGTAACAGAATGGTGTCAAAGTTATGGTGCATTTTATTAGTTTCGTGTGTGCGTGAGCTTACCTGTGGAATTTGTGCGTGTTTTTAAAAATGGCCGACTCAGATTATAATAATAAATTAGTGTTTATGTCATCGGCATTATTTTTATATTCACACGGATATTTTGGAATTACTCTGTCTTAGTGAAGTTTATTGTAATAGCCTTTAAAAGTTTCTTTTGCACTCAGCCATGCAAATGAGCCTGTAAAGATTTAAAAAAAAATTAAAAGCTTTTATAAGTTTAAGTGTTAATGGGGTGATTTTCCGTATGTTTTAAACTCTAAAAGCTCTGTTATTCTGTTTTAATATAAACCTGTAACGGTAGAGACTGTCCTACTTAGATATTTAGGCATTTATTTTTAAGACCTTTAATTTTCTGTCACACTCAAACACTGTAATATTAAATTAATACAAAAATTACTTTCATGAATGAAACTCCTGAAACTTAACGTCATGAAACTTATTTAAGTGCATATTTGCTTCAGCTCTACATTCATTGGTATAATTCTAAAATAAAGAAGTCTTTATGTTTTTTTTCTTAGCAAAGGTTTTTAAACTTGAGCTCGATACGATAAATTACCAAAAGTTTATTTTCAAAAGTTACCCGACTCTACCGAAACCGAGAAAAACTTAAAACTTTTGCCACACGATGAAAAATGCACGCGCATTCAACTAACAACCAGTTTTCACAAAAATAACTATTGCATTCTCACTCTAGTCCTAAACTAGCCGACTCGTCCCAAACGGGCCGCGTTCCATTCTGGAACACGTTTCAATTCGAAATTCATATTTGGAACGTTCGCTACCGGTCGCCCTTGTAATAGTTGGCCGGTGTTATCAAACGGCCAGTATTTCTCGACCTCTGGCGGCACAAAGAAGTTTGTATTTCCGACCTTACTGGATAAGATATAAGGATGAGCTCGTGAGGTGACAGGGGCTTTCCCAAAATGGCGGTAAGTCGTCGGCAAGTGCAGCGCGAACGAAAATATACGACGCTGAGTTGTTTTGCCGCCTTATCACTCGGGCCAAAGGTTAAACAGGCGGCGGAGAGTTCATGATGTGCCTATACTCCTTTGATCTCTGCGAGCAAGGCGCGAGATAACAGTGATGATGAGTGAGGGACGTTTCAAACGTTCTATTGACAGTAGGTAATAACCTAAAATTCAACAAAACTCTATGTAGGTTACATAGAGTTTTGTTGAATTTTATACCTATTTAAATGGGACAAAGATAATAAACAGTCATTAGGAATTTTATTAGAAATTCGTAAAAAAATTAAATACATTTTAGGACTCTACATTGTTCGTAGGAAATAATTGAATTTTATCGAATGTTTGATATGCATTATTGTAGGTAGCTACTGCTCATTACTGATTAGTGATTAGTTATCATTAGCAAAATGATAGAATTACCGTTATTGATAAAGATTAAGGTAATAGCGAAATGAAGAAATAATGTTAACGTCTGATTTATAAGAAGGCCTTTACTTAAAATTGGGGAACAAAATAATTTAAGTCGACTTAGTTATAACGTTATCGACTTTTCAGAAACTATGTTTCGTTCGGAAAACAATTTAGTAGCGACACAAAGAGATGTCGTTTTGATTTTATTATGATCGAAAGCGAATTTAATTCGAATCTCAAAAAGACAAAAATGCGTAGTCAGGCCAGTCTGCACGTTGTCTAGTCTAGATCGCGGGCGAGGGCCGCGCGGGGCGGAGGCGGGCTCTCAGTCCGCCAACTTAAAAATGCCGCTCCGCAGAGCCTCCGAATCGATACCGCGCGCGTCACGTGCCGCGAGCGCGACCAATCGCCGCCGCCCCCCGCGGGGCGCTCCGCGGCCCTCAGTGCACGCCAGACCGCCGCGCGAGACGGACGCACGCCGCGCGCCGCAACCACACGAAACCGGTCCGATGCGTGACATGTTATAGTGCGATGAGTGCGTGGACGGAGGACGCGCTCTCGTGGCGCGACGAGCGGCTCAGCCTGACCGAGCTTCCGAGCACGGCGCGCAGGAAACAGCGCAGCGCGCCCTACCGCCTGCACCGGCCGCATCTGCCCGCGCCGCACGTGCCCGAGTCGCCGCCGGAGCCGCAGGGCACCCACATCTCCCGGCTCTACCCCGAGCTGCTGGCCTTAATCTTCGAGCGGCTGCCGGTCCGGGACCGCGGCCGCGCTGCACAAGTCTGCCGCGCGTGGAGAGATGCCGCCGACAGAAGATCCGTCTGGAGAGGAGTCGAGGCGGCGCTGCATCTCCGGAGACCGGCGCCGGTGCTGTTCGCGTCGCTCGCCAGGCGAGGCGTGCGCAAGCTGCAGGTGCTCTCCCTCCGGAGGGGCCTCCGGGACGCGGTCGCCGCGCTTCCCGGACTGGAGTCGTTGTCGCTCAGTGGATGCTACAGTGTCACCGATGCGGCTCTCGCCAGTGCGTTCGCGGCGGAACTGCCGGCTCTAAAAAGACTAGACTTATCGTTGTGTAAACAAGTTACGGATTCCTCGCTCGGTAGAATAGCGCAGTCGCTCAAAAACTTGGAGGAACTCGAGTTGGGAGGTTGTTGCAATATCACAGACACTGGACTGTTGTTAATAGCGTGGGGGTTGAAAAAACTGCGTCGATTAAACTTGAGGTCGTGTTGGCATGTGAATGATGCGGGGATAGCGCACCTCTGCGGCGGAGGTGAGGCGCGAGGGACGCCGGACCTGGAGCATTTGGGTCTGCAGGACTGCCAAAGGCTAACGGACGAGGCATTGAAGCACGCCGCGACGGGTCTTCCAAATCTGAAATCCATCAACCTCTCCTTCTGCGTGGTGACGGACGCGGGCCTGAGGCACCTGGCTCGGCTGCCGCACTTGGAGGATGTCAATTTGCGAGCGTGCGACGGGGTGTCGGACGCGGGGGTGGCGCACCTGGCGGAGAGCGGGCGTCTCAGGGCGCTGGACGTGTCGTTCTGTGATAAGGTGGGCGACGAGGCGCTGTCGCACGCCACGCTGGGGCTGTCGGGCCTGCGCTCGCTGTCGCTGAGCGCGTGCCGGCTGACGGACGAGGGGCTGGAGCGCGTGGCGCGGCTGTCGCAGCTGGAGACGCTGAACATCGGGCAGTGCACGCGCGTGACGGACCGCGGGCTGCGCGCGCTGGGCGACGGGCTGCTCAACCTGAAGGCCATCGACCTGTACGGCTGCACGTGCATCACGCCGCAGGGCCTGGACCACATCGTCAAGCTGCCGCGCCTCAGCGTGCTCAACCTCGGCCTGTGGCATGTGCGGTGACCACGCTCGCGCTAGTGTAGTGCTGTGTGAGTGCGACGGCCGTCCGTGAGGAGCCGCCAAGGTTGTATACTGGACTGTGGATAAAGAATTAACCAATTTTATGACATTATCGAATTAATTGTTAGGAAGTGGGGTCGCTTTCTTTTACGTGTTTCTGTTTTGGCCAGTTCCGTTGAAGTTGTGTTTGTATTAAGTTTGAAGTTCGAAATTCGGTTACGTTTCGTTTGTTTCTGAAGAAAGTCGCCCCAGCGCCTAGTCGTGATATTGAGCCAGATCTTCTTGAAGACGCCATTTATTGTAGTGTACTTGAAATGATAATAATTTGTTTACTCGCTCCATTATGCGATGACGCAAACGGCGAGCCGTCTGACTATGCAAGTGTTACTAATTCAGGAAGATCTGGTTGTTCAATATAATTGCTCCATTAGTTAGATAGACATTTAGCCATTCTTCAAATTAAAATTGTTATGGTTCGACCTTACGCACAACTAGGGAACTAACAACGTTGCTATATTAGGTTATTTCAATTGTTTTTGTGGCAAATGTTTGGGAGATAAACTGTACATTTTGTATTTACTAAACAAAGGCTCTGTATGAGTAATAAAATACGTAATATAATAGGGACGAATACCGTTAATGCTTCTTGTAAAGGGAAAAAGCGGCTTATCTTGAACTGTCGTAAAACCACTATCGTATTTTGTAAGGAAATTTTACCGTTATCCCTACAGCTTTTTATAAATTCAAAGCATGGGATTAAACAATAGTGTACACAGAACAATACAATTACTATTCAAAAGACCAATAAGGTTTTCTTTACTTGGTAAATAATACTCAATTATGTTATAACGGATTTTTATAAATAAATGGGAAATCCGGGTAGTTTAAAGAATATGTTTTAAAACAAGCGGATTTATGATATTAATTAAGTTACTAGCTATCCAGAGAGCAAAATTTTTCCTACTGCAATAATTTCTGCTATTCCGCCTCCAACAGATTATTATATAAAGACGTACATTATTCGTATAAATAAATGTGACGCAATATAAAGCTGACGTTGATTTATTCGACCCATTTATTATCTTAGCACTGTATATAATCAACGATTTTCTCGTAATAAATTACAACAAATGCCTTGACACACTTGCGTCCGGACAAAACTTGGAAAGTTAGAGATACCAACGTTTTGCCGTGCTACATTAGCTGTGCAACGAGGAAAGCAACTGTAAGTTTAAGTTAAAAAATGTCTTCCAAGTATATAAAAATTACTACCAAACGAAAAGTGAAATGTAGAATACTCAAACGATACTTAAACATTATCGGTACGCGTATAAGTCCATTTGCCATAGGTTTAGACAATTATTATATTGATAATCATAAATTGCTTATTAATTATAAATAAGTTTACTACAATTGTAATTTGACAGTATCCTTTTTGTGGATCTAAAATGTATTTCTTGCACAAGTTGTTACTGAAAACGAAAAAACCGAATCAGAACAAGTTGAGTTGTTGGTGGATTCGCGTAACTCAAAAGATTTCGCTTTTTTTAGATTTGTTTTTCTATTGTGTCCGCTGAAACGCGTGTCGGCGTGCGAAGTAAATTCCAAAATAAAATCCAAATGTACTTCCATTTTATTAGAAAGTACAACTTATTTGTTTGAAAAAGAAACTGTATACTCGAATCCAATTGTTGATTGAATTTGCTTTAGGAAATTGTCTTGGCTTATGAATGTTTTTCTTTTACCAACTTATTAAACTTTTTGATACATTTACATTTATAAATTATCTCCCAAAGTCCACGATCTCGTTCATACGTAATTTTTGATATTATATTAAGTTATTAACTTCAATTATTGTGATGTCTGCGTAAGGTCGAATTAGTAACAAGGAATACGTTGTATACTTCATCGATACGTTGTTTTTGTACAAACAAATGTAATATAGGAGAAATGTATTAAAAGTCATGGTTTAAGTTACAAATTATTCTGGACATTTTATTTTTCTCCTTGGAATATTACCTGAGATACTTGGAACCGTTTAGAAGGATGTTACGAGAGAAACAAGAAATAAAGCTGGAGTTAGCATCGGATAAAGTTAGACAACAAAAGTTAACTCTTCGCGGTGAAGGTCTCGTCGACTTAGATAGCATTGTCTAACTTTGATCAACCTACAATATTAATTTACGAGCATTTTGTAAATAATCTACGAGTAACATACAATACAAATTCATCATCTGGTCTTTTCCAAAAACAGCAGGAAGTGTGCCAAAAGAACACTTAAAATGTGTCTACAAGAAAAGCTGAAAGTAAAGTGATAATAATTGACGATGACATACCTATTTGAAAAAAGTGCAATAATAATAAATTGACAATATTTTTGAATAGATGCCATTTCTTTTGAATAAAATTAAATGATGAAATACATATTATAATATTATAATGGATTATCTGCTGTTTTATATTATGTTATTTAATTCGATAATTCGTATAATTTCTGTCGAATCAAGTTAATGAAAAATAAAGGAATATTCAATCCTAAAACTTTCCATCTACAATCGTACTGAAAGAAACAGAATCAGAATCTTTATTTGCGTAAAAACATGGTACTCGTATATGAAGATGTTACAAATTATAATGATAAACAAAACACTCTATGTGAAACAGGACATTATTTTATTCCAAGTGATGAATGGACAAACCAGAGCAATGCTTCTAAATTATTGGGTGCCGTTTGAACCAGTATCAATGAGCAAGACAATAAAATATATTGGCCTCAATGCGACAACGATAAAGCTATGTTTCTTACGTGTTGATAAATTATAACAGATATAGAGCTGTATCTATTGTATTCGGAATATATATCTATTCGGAAGTTTGATAATACCAAATTATCAAACTTCCGAACTTGCAAATCATTAAATTCTTACATCATTATTATACCGGTTCTATAATATCTATTCTAGTAGGTAAAAGTTGATGGTCATTTAAAATCTACGCTAGGTAGACTTACTTAAGAAACAACTTCCATTCTACGTTGTCTTTTGTAGGAAAGAATCATCTGGCATTTCTGATTAACATTTTAAAAATATTAATTGAAGGCATTCCTTTGAAGGAAATTTATTATTAAGGAATGACTACGACAATGTACTACACATTGTCCTAACAGTTCAAAAACAAACCATTATTATGAACTGACGGAATATCATCGGAAAAGTATTCTAATAATAATAAACCCAGTGGATATTTTATCTGCATGAAAAACCACATAGGTCTTGATGACGTTTTGGGATATTACAAACATTTCCTAAAAGTGTTTTAACTATTATTTTCTGACCTCAGGTTGACACTGTAAGTTGTTTTGTTCGTGCATAATTGGGTATTTTGATAAAATATTATTGCAACTTACTTCAAACACACAATTTTAACCTCTTAGCTGTGGCTGTGTGGTTTTGTATAGAAAAAGTCCAGCTAAGCCTATGTGATATTCTTATTTATAAACTAATATCTGAACTAGCTGGACTACACATTTTTGTAAAAGTGGCTCATAGTACCACTGAAGAAGATGCTACAGTTTTTATCACCTGGTGTCACAGTAAAATCAATTTTGGAAATTCTGAAGACTGCGCAGTGGGAAATCAATACAATGAATTATTTCCTATTTCTGTTTCCAAGAATATAAATGAAAAAAAAATATTCAACGTGAGTCATAAAGACATTGTCACCCAACCATTTCGCCGTGTAAACACGAGGAGGGAAATACCGGAGGAAATACTAGGTATTTGTAAAATGAAGTTCCAAGAATCAAGGAAAATGATTTTATTTACGAATATAATAGGTATTAAATCTCCTACCAGGTGAGGTAGATGAGGATTGAAGAACAAGCTAAACATTGGTTACTTATTCAGTCGTAATAAGTAAGATTTTGCAAGAAAAAATTATGTGATATGATGTCCTGGCAACTAAAATACAGTCGAGCACTAATAAAAGTTTTAAATTTCAGCTTGAAAATTACTTTTCAAATGCTCAAACAGAGGAGTCATTTAAAACAGTACCTAATAAATGAGATACATTTTACAATGAAAACTACACTACACTATCCTCGATTCTAAGTCAGTGTCTCTAATCTCTAATATCTATTCTGCAACTATGCTTAAATCTCGATTAAATCTTAAGAATAGTTTCAAGTCATCATCGTCTCTTTAGTCTCCACTGCAGGAGCCAACACATTTTTTTCCATTTTACCAGAAACAAAATGCAGGATTTGGCCTATAAGTAATCCTCACGCTAACCAGGCGGAATAGAGAGGCCTGATGTTCGCATATTTCTCACTTAGTCGCCCCATACGACATCCACAGGAATTTTGATAGGTCTAAAGTTCTAAACATAGTTCAGCCAATCTCTGGTTCGTACTTTGAATCGAATTTGACTCGTTTCATAACTCAAGCCCTGCTGATATTTAAAGCTGATCTGACAAGCGTTGCCCACGCGTCTTATTTATAGATTTGTTAAATCAGTAAATAATCCCATCTTTATTACGTAACGAACCTTCTTGTTTGTGAGAATATATTGAGAGAGTCGCCTCTGGAAACACTGATTCGATTTAGCTAGTAATCAAACGAATTATTCTTGTAATTTTATTCAGGTTTAAAACGGTTTTAGTAATTTTCTTATATCGAGTTAACTTTGAGATCTAACACACTGTGGGCCGAGTGTGAGTTTACATAAAAAATGTATGAAAATTTAAGGTTTTGAACGTTTCCCGCTAGGGGCGCTGTACAACCCGTTATACATTTAATGTCATTTTTGACGGCCCTCTGGTTGTCAAATTTTAAGACTTATTCTGAAGTTAAGTAGGTACCTACTGAATTTAAAATGCTTCAGATTTAGTAGCTAATCTATTAGATACATTTTACAGTTTGTTTCTTCATCCAGAACACTCATTAAATTATCACCTTCATCTATCAAAATCAATGATCTGCAATAATTAGAAGATTGTATTAATTCCGATCATTACTTTATTGTATTTAAAAAGTCAAAACACTATAATGCTTCCTACTCATTACTGTTCGTTCGTTCGTTCGTTCGTTTCAGCCGAAAGACGTCCACTGCTGGACAAAGGCCTCCCCCAAGGATTTCCACAAAGACCGGTCCTGCGCCGCCTGCATCCAGGTACTTCCCGCGACCTTCACCAGATCGTCGGTCCACCTAGTGGGAGGCCTGCCCACGCTACGTCTTCCAGCTCGTGGTCGCCACTCAAGAACTTTCCTGCCCCAGCGGCCATCAGCTCTTCGAGCTATGTGCCCCGCCCACTGCCACTTGATTTTAGCGATTCTGCGGGCTATGTCAGACACTCTGGTTCTCCTACGGATCTCCTCATTTCTGATTCGATCTCATTACTGAGTTCTAATTATTTACTAGCTCTTGTTTAATTGTAATTTTACAATATTTTGGTTTCCGTATTTGGTTTATTTCGTTTCGCCTCAAAACATTGGCCAAAGCAACTTTCTACTGCAGTCAGCCAGTCGGCCGACCAGTCGTCCGACTTTGACATGTTTTGGCTGACAGATCTTATCTGGTTGGATTAATGACAAATATTCTCAATATGTGCACTTTCTATTTCATTAGGTAGGTACCCAATTAATTTACCTACTATAGTTTTGCTTTAGAAGTAAATTTAGTTTGAGTGAGTCTGTTGCGGCGCCTCTTGTCAGTATAGTTCTTGCAACTCACGAAGGCGAGTGAGCTTTACTTGTGTGTGTACGTGTACATGCACATAACGATAGTGTAATGTCTATCAAAACTTTTGAAAAACGAACAGTAGCGAGCCACCACACATGTAAAGCTCACTCGCCTGCGTGGATAGCAACAACTACATATTATATCTACTTGTCAAATTAATGTTTGAATGAATCCTGAGTTTACTTTATAAACTTAACAAGATTTAGAAGTCTTTTTTTATCACAACTGAAAATAGTCAGAAAAAAATGCACAAAGATATTGCCACACCATAGAAAATTCCTCACGGTTCACCTACCATTGATTCAGACTTCACAAGCCATAATAATTCAGTACCTAACTACAACAATGGGAAAATTTAGTTCACACATTATTCTACCGACGGCACTTCAAGCTAAACATTCTGGCATCTTATCTAGTATTACATAGGGTCTGTTTTAGAACAAAAACGTATAGTCAGATGTGGTGTCGACTCAACATCTTTTGCTATACTTGAGTAGGTACCTTAATGAGTTACCAAAATAGTCTGTGGTCAGGTTTGCGAGAGCCAAAAATAAATTAGCATAAAAAATTGACGATGCGAGCGTGTTTTTTTTTCTGTTTTGTTGTTCCATTTATGTCAAGTAACAAGAAAATCTTGTGTAAGATTCAATGTTCTTAGAAATCTTCACTGTTACAAGAACTATTTAATCCAACGTTAATGTTATGTACCTATTTGTCAATCGTTCCATAAACTTTGATTGAATCATGGAATACTTAAATGCTGAGTTTTTTTTTCATAATCATCGGCGTCCCTTCCTGAAAAAAAAGGAAATGTCAAAATAGGTTAGTTAAAAGCTTACTGCACAATTTAAGATATTGACAAAAATGACTCAGTTTAAATAACTAACGACCCTATTATTTTGCAACTAGCTTTTGCCCGCGTGAAATTTCGTTTGTCACAGATCGTCATAAATTATAGCCTATATCTTATTCTGGGTTATAAACAATAATACTGTAAAGTTTCATCAAAATCCGTTCAGTAGTTTTTGCGTGAAAGAGTAACAAACATCCAGACATCCAACATTTCGCATTTATAATTTAGTAGGAAGTAGGATATTGCTATTATAATAACTGTTACTCTTTGAAGGTCTAACTTTAACGTCATCTTTGATGATGCCGCTGCAATATTGATCTCAAAAACAATAATAGACATTGCCTTTGAAATCCTTTTTGAACAATTACGAGTAAATGATTTTATTAAAGTTACTTTAAACGCGTTTACGGCTTCAAAAGTTTCTCTGAACCAAATGGGGTGCAATAAAAACATTTCTTGGCGTTTGTTTTTTAAATTACTTTATGGCGTCGTAAACGAAAGTCCGGGTTGGAGTAAAATAAATAGTAATTAATAAGTTTAGTTAACTTTAGTTGTTCCGTTTTGTACAAATAAAAGTGACGCCGACTGTTTTGTATTTGGTTCTGAATAACTGTTTTGTAATTTTAATGGATGAAGTCGAAAGTATTTCTGCTCTAAGAATGGTATTGTAAATCTGTACCAAAGGGTTGTTTTTCAGGCATTTTGATTTAATTGTGATGAAAAGTGACAATCATAACAGTGATTTTAAATTTTATTTTTTTGAATAAACGGGTCATTTATAGGCGCACATAGGTGACTTTTGTCTCCGTCACTGTATTGTTTCCATAGATAAGAATAAGCACTAAGTTACGTTCTCTTTTACTCTTTACAAAAGTGTAAAAGAGAAAACTATATTAATACGTTTTTACCAATTAGGTACTAATACTAATTCAATTATCTTCCGAAGATGGTCTACTCTACAAATTCCTATTATGATTATCTAATAATTTAGTCTAGTCTCTTGCACCAAATAAAATGATACACTCTACAAAAACCTTGATATGGGGCCGAGAGTGATGAACTACTATTCTCAATCTTATTACTGAGGCGTGAAGACGCTATATCCAATGGTTAATATACCAAGATGTAACAAGAAGTGTTGTGTATTTTATGCCTTTGTAGGTTCCTCCTATTGCTGTAGCGAGTGTGTGTAGATGTGGTGAGTACCTAGCTAATAGGGGACCTACTGTGTATTTGGAGTTTAAATAAAACCGTTGAAGATTTTACACTGCGTTTAATTCAACATTAATAATTAGTTTACGGTACAGAAGAGTAGAATTGAAAGTTACGAGCACTGAGTTATCGAAATAAGAAAATATTAAGAATGATAGATAGTAAGAAAGAAAGTTAAAATCACAAATTAAAGGTGAGATTGGCGTGTGTTTATAGCGTATGGTTTTTGTTTAATTAATGGCAAATCATCAGTTGTAACCTATTGAACTCTTTACGGGTCCGTAGGCATAGGAAATCCTTAGGATCGACCGTCCGTAGCTTCGCAATTAACAAGGTATTTCATGTCTAAGTTTGCGCCCTTGAACGACTACAGAGGTACATTTTTAGACAAACGTGACAAATTGACAATACTGTTACAACGCTGAATCTTCAACTAGCAACGCCCCGGCTTCGCACGGGCGGTATGCATTGTACTTACATAAAAACCTTCCTCTTGAAACACTCTATCTATTGCTGAAAACTGCTTCAAAATCCGTTGCGTAGTTTAAAAGATCTAAACGCACAGACAGCGGGAACGTTTTTGTTTTATACTACGAGTAAGTACGAAAAGATTACAAGTTAGTTAATGCCTTTAAGCTGAAGACTACAAGAATCTACAGAGTAAGTTGCAGAGTTGGAAATGAATGAGAGGTGAGAAGAAAAGAGCATTATTGTTTGCCTGTATTATTTATTATACAAAGACTTGTACATATTGATGGTCATGAAAAATAAACACAAAACTTTGTTACTTACATGGGAAATCTTAAACTTATGAGAAATTTATTTATATAGCCTTTTAAATACATACTTAGGTAAATATAAGAAGAAACTAAAGTGACTTTACTTTGCACTCAAGTCGGATATGACTCTACGATGAGTCACAATGTAAGGTCAGACTTCTCACAACATACACGAAGTTTTGTTAGGTATTTCTTTTCCTTCATAAACATCATCCGAACCGTATGTTAATTATTAAAAGTTAAAGTTTTTAATCAGGGTTTTTCATAATTTAGATAGAGTCTTCTTTCAAGTACCTAAGTACTTTTTGACAAAGCGATAAATAAATAAATTCTCCCTTTCTTTTTAATTTATTATTATTATTTATTCCTTATTCTCTAGACATCTACTCGACCTTTCTAAAATTCATAAAATTGAATTACTTGTTGAAAAAATTAGAAAGAAAACTATTTCGATTGTTTATAAAAGTCGCGACTTTTTGTTCATGAATACCTATTGTGTGCGAGTTTGTCTGTAACCGCGTATCAGCCTACACGAGGGCATACCATAGTAATGCAATATTCAATGCAAATGTATGAGACTATTATGATGAATCACCGTGCCTTCCTACGGCCTTCCCGGCAACAGATTTGTGAAATGAATTGTTTTAACGCAATAGGTATTCAGTGTTTTTCAGTCATCTGTTTTGTAGGTAAGTTGTTACAAACTCTGGAGTTATCCTAAGAAAACAGGTATTTTTTTTTGTAATCTTTAGACTTGTGTGTTTCACTTTATACGCAGGCATGTAGGTTTAAGTTACATTTTAATCTCATTAATTATACATAATTTAGTCTCTATAATCAGTTCTGGCATCCTTTACGAACTGAAAGAACCAGATATTTCAACAGAACCAAATTAATTCGATATCTGCCTTTTAAAAACGATAGGTATTGTTAATTACCTTTTTTTATCACCCTGAAAAGGAAATAATAATATTTAATAAACATAATCAAGCTAAATTTTCACGACCAATCTTTATTATCACAAAGAATTTGATAAGATATTAGACAGATGATAAGATAACAGGCTAAGACTTTACTTCCAAAACAATTTACCGCTCCTTTCCTATAATACAATCACCTTCTTTCTTCACTTTACATTATAATTATATTTATCTTAAGATAGAGCCCTATAGCAAAAAGCCAACTCAATTAGCCCGACTCGACTGAATCTCAGTCAGATTCTGTGGTTGGTCTAAATTTTAGACTCTAAAACATTGTTTAACGAATCAAAAGCTTAATAATTATGCTTGACATTAAAATTGATGGACCAAAAACTGTCATCATCATCATCTTTTCAGCAACAGGACGTCCACCGCTTCACATAGGCATAGGCTATTAACATTTCAGCCTAAATGGTCGTCGAACTGAATGAAAGTTTTTCCAAATAGCGCCAAAGGGGGCGACCAGACTTTTTCCAGCTATGCCGGCAGCACCAGGAGAAACCAAAAAGTTTAAGGCTGGTTTTAGTGTCACGTGGACCGTCCGGTGCGGACCCGCTCCGCACGGCCAATCTGTATGAACTTCTAGGGAGCGTTTTAGAGTAATGCGGTCCGGAGGAACCGCTCCGCTCCCTAGCAGTTCATACAAATCGGCTGTGCGGAGCGATCCGCACTGACAGTCCGCGTGACACTAAAACCAGCCTAAATACTTAACATCCGTAAGTATATGATAATAAAGCACAGATTAAAATTCAAGTAACAAAACAGTTGAGGTGCGATTCTGAGAATACTGGATTAACAATGCCGACGGCTAAGACCTTTTCTTCCGCTATTGGAACTTTAACTCTATTGCATTAAAATTAAGGTGCATAAGCTCAGCAAAAGGATAAGGATGGGACATAACGGTGAAGAGTATCCATATTCATGAGGCTTTCTGGACTGTACCCAGTCCTTTGTCAACACCGCTTTTTTCGGCCGCGACAACGGTTCGACTCTTCAGGCTACGAATAGGATCCTGATCTTGTAGGGTGACAATGTGGATATGATAAAACATAATTTAGATAAAAATGGCTCGTTAAATCAGACAAACACTCTACAAGTAAGCGATTTAACAAGCAAATGAATGAATTAGAAATAATAAAATCATCTTATTTGATAAGTACATTTTAATAGGTGGTTTAACATAATCTACTATAATAACGTCGTAGTTAATATGTAACGTCTTATTAAATCTCGGCTACTTCCTGGTGATTCTGATGAAGCAAGACATGACTGTAAAAATAAAACCAGGTGCGATTGCTGTCAAATACCTGCCTTGTCTTGTATAAAAAAATATTGTTAAGAATTTTATTGAGATTTGAATATTATATGAGTCTTTTTTAACATTCCCGTACAGACTAAACGATAATAAGTCGTAATTTAAAGAAAATGGGCTTACATTAGCTAAAATCTATAAAATGTCTCGTACCTCCATCTTTGTTTATTTTCATTTGGTCACCTCGAAGGTCCTTTTATTGTCCTAGCCGGTTGCATCAAAGGACCGCGAGTCCGAAGGTCCATTACTATTGTGGACCCCTAAACAATAGATTAAAACTAACCGCCGGATTCATCTTCCAGATTACATAGCTTGAAAAGAATTTGAAGACACAATAATGTCCCTTGAAAGAGCTTGTACCGTTAGAGATTATCTTTACTGTTTATTGTAAGTAAACAGTTGTAAACTTGTTGAAATATGTTTTAATCTATGTAGAAGGTACATAAAAACCACAAAGTACAACTTTTACGATGTTATGTATTTAAAGTAATGAAATATTTCGCATTCAATAATTTAAACTTTTATTTTGACAAATTGTTAATATTTAATACAAAATTATTGCTATAATATTAAAAGTAAAAAACTTATTACATACTAATTATACTATAATTAATATTACTTTTAATTTGATAAGTGATTAAAAATTGACACGTAGCGCCTGTGAATATTTTTTTAATACTGCCGCCATTTATATGAAAAAAAAAAACTACACGTACAAACGTGGAAAAACGTAGTGAACGTAGGTGTAATTAATCTGTCAGTCATCCACAATAAAGTAATTAGTTAGTAAAACAAGCTATTAATTAAAACCTTTGACAAACCAAACGGAATACAGAATCAAGATTCACAATTTTTCTCAACAAACAGAATAGCGTAGTTAGAACCTTGTAATTAAATTCATTTGTCTTTTTATTTATACTTCATTTCGAATCCGAAGTTTTTAGATTTCGAACGTCTCAGAAAAAAGTTTGAATTTAGATTTTTAAATTCTGAAATCATTAAAATGGCCAAAGAGGCGTTTGAGAATAGTCTGCGCTTGACAAAATTGTTTCTTCTTTTGTCTGGCATAAGAATCACAAGAAGAAAATGGCGGAAATCCGTCGAAAACTTCTTCGATTACTATTTGTACTATATTAGCTTATCCTGGCTATACACAGATGTGTGTGGAGAGCTAAACTGGTTAATAGAAGGAATATTAACTGGAAAAAGTTTTATTGACCTGTCTTTGACCGCCCCTTGTATAACTATTAGCATGTTGGCAACCTCCAAATCTATATTCCTGTATTGGAACAGAGATGTTGTAGCTAAAATTGTGGATAAACTAAGGGACATCCATCCTGAAGATGAGGAATTTGATGAATATAAACAACTAGGTTTATACCAAGTAGAATCCAACGAACCAGATGTAGAGAAGGAAATAGTGGAAGAATCCAGAAAATTCTTGAGCTTTGTGGTGCATTTGCTTTTCTACATCTGTGCTGTGGTGATCTGTGCCTTCCCTCTGATGCCAGTGACGTCAATGGCCTATGATTACTATACTACCGGCAGTACGGAGTGCAAGTATCCGTACTTGGTGAAGTACTTCTTCGATCCGTACACTATGAAGATGTGGCCTGCCGTTTACTTCCACCATGTTGTGTCAAGTTAGTACTTTTTTCGTGTCCATAACACATTCTATAGGATGTATTAAATTAAGAGTCTTTTTTATTGTAGGATGCTAACAAACACATGTCTTGAAAGCAAACAGAATGCCATATTTTTTCTAAGCCATAAATTATTAAGAAATGTTCATTGTTTGCACAAGAGTACTACGCAGTTGATCTTGATTTATTTCTTAATCCTTACATGAAGTGAGCTACCTCGTGCTATGTTACTTGAGAAATAGAGTAAAGTTCAGAAAATATTGACTTTACAAAAATCATCGTGTATTTAATTAGATTTCATTAACATGTCACTTCTTAAAATTGGTGATGTAGTAAAGAAAAAAAAATCATTAAAAATTTGATTAGAAAAAGCATACTTTAATATGTATGTGGCCAGCAATTTCGGCAATAGCCTAACCTAGACAAAAGACAGTAGACAGTCGTTCTATATTCAGAATTTCAAATTGTACGGTTCCATCACCATTTTAACTTCCATTCTTAATTTAAACGCTTCAATTATCAGCCAGGATTAGGGATATTCCGATACTAATAAATACGAGTAGGTACTCGATACTTTTGATTCGATACCAAGTATTTATTGTATCGAATCAATTTTGCGATACATAATCGGTATCGAAACAAAAATACTTGGTATCGAATCGAATCAGCAAAACAACCGAAAACAATAAAAAAAACCGAGAACGCATCATACAGAACTGAGAGAGCAAAAACAGTCAGCTAATCAGCTTTAATCGGTTACCGAGTTACCGGCATTCGTCGCGTGGCGGCGTGAGTGACGCGTTGTCTCGCCCTGGGCCAGCCGAATTCGTCCGACTTCAGCCGAGCCCGAGCCGAAAGCGAGAGAAGGAGACACCCACACCCGACCGCAAATCATCTCGCCATTCCGCCATTGTGAATGGTTTATTCCAATGTTATCATGGCACCACCAAAATTACCCTCAAAATAATAAAACAAAATAAAAGTTCGAAAAAGTATCGATATCAGTAAGTATCGATACTTTAGGAGTACTTATTTAAGTAGTATCGAAAAAAGATTTGAGTATTATCGAAATGAGTAGGTATCGATACTTAGGTGGTATCGGAACATCCCTAGCCAGGATGGGTAATTCGTCATATTCCATAACAATACGACGCGGTTGTATAACCCTGACTCATGAGCCACTTAAACACTACTATGACTCTTATTTTAACGGAAAAGAGTCTAAAACAGAATAACAAACTGCACAGAACTTGTCCACAGACTTGCAAAATGGTCCAAAGCAGGAAAACCTTTGTTCGAAAGGATGAACGTTTATAAATAGCGTTCTATCTGTATCATTATTAAATTGAAAACATTACAAGTATATGAATTAAACTAATGTTGATTCAATTTGCATTATCTGGGAAACTAGTTGTGAATGTAAACGCCTTTACTTTAACGACTGTAATAAGCTGATGGGAACGGGGCCCATTCTCATTTCTTATAGATTTGCAAACTGCAGTATTACAAGCTATTACTGTAAAGTGCGTATTGGTGTGATTAGCATCATTTATGGGTAAGAATATTTCAATTCCATTGACCAATTAAAAGACATTGCAGACTAAGGCTGGGTAGCACCATCTTACTATAACTTTGACAAAGGTTAAACATCTGTCAAACTCCATACAAAAACACCGGCTATCGTTAAAGTTAAGTGGTGCAAATTGTCCTAAATGTCCACCAGACGGAATCATCTTTGCCTTTTTGATTTTGAAAGTTGAGTTCTGAATCACCAATCATCTAGTAGTTATACAGTTTGAATTAAGTTTTTTTTGTACATGTTTGTTTCATAATAGATCTTATTACAACTAAATGGATAAAAACATGTGTTCAGCTAGATGTGCCAGTTTGTGGTCAGTCGTCTGAATTCTTGCGCCTGTTACTTTATCTACTAAGGGGGACTCATGGTCACACTGACCATGATTTGGTTCTCTGACCAAAAGAGAACTAGAGTGATTGTTGTTCTGGCTTCAGCATCTTTTCCCCTGCAAGGTACCCATGGAAAAGCAGTGACTTGGTACTTGGGTAACATGTCAACTGTCAAGATGATACTGAGTGGGTGACACCTTTGACAACATTTTTTTTCTCTTTTCGTTGTCAAATAAATATTTTTCCAGCCGCCATAGTAGGCGCCAACGTGTTCGGCTCAGACAGCCTGTTCTACGTGGTATGTATCTACATCCAGATGCATTTCCGAACGCTCTGCCATCGCTGCGAGTGCGCTGTGGTCTCTTCGAGGGATGGAACTAGGAGGAACGTGGCGAATGCTGTGAAGAGACATCAGGAACTGATTGAGTAAGTTACCAGTTAAAGCAGAGTAGAATAGTAATCAGTTCATCACTATTCCCATGGATGTCGTAAGAGGCGACTAAGAAAGAAATAAGCGAATATTAAGCCTAGGTCCACCCTCACTCTTCCCATGGATGTCGTAAGAGGCGACCAAGAGAGAAATAAGCCAACACCAGGCCAAACACCAGGTCAAACAGGTGACCAATGTGGGAAGTGTAGATCAAATCCTCCATTTGCCTCTGATAAATTGAAAAGAGTCGTGCTTCTGCAGATGATACTAAATGACCTGTTGGGTTGGTTGATGTTATTTATCTATAAAACTTTCATGATAAATCTTAAAATCTCTGTGATGGAATTTCTCACCCGGACGGACTACCCGAACTTACGAGTAGATAGTAGGTATATTCAATTCTACAATCAAAAATTAATGTTCGAAAAATACTGTAGGTTCTAAAAATACAGTTTGAAAGAAAATAGGGACCAGTTTCTTCACTTTATAGCATCGCGGCAAACAATAAAGCGTAGCAATTGTTACCTAATCCGTTACAAGTTTATGAGCTTGGTGAGAGAAATTAACAGCTTGTTAAAGCATTTTCCAATGCCGTGTTCGACAGAGTTCTAATTGACACGAATAGAAACCCGCGTGTGTTCTGCACCTAATGAATCAATCAACTTGACGTTGCTGAATACTTTAAAGAATTGTGGTACCAAATGCCTGAACATAATGATATGGGATGGGTGGTGTGTGCATGAACTTCTTAAGAATGTTCCTATTTCGAATATAAATAAAGATTTTCTCAAAACGCAATAGTAAAAACAATTGAAAAGCGCAACGTCAGCAACGCATAATATTTTTATCAATTCACATTTGGAACATCAAAACAAGTGAAGTCAATATAAAGCTTGTAATGAATTTTAAATAGCGAACAATGGAGCATCAATTTAAACTTTTTTTTCGGATTTTAGGTTTGTCACCATACCATGGAGGTTGCAATGCAATCCTTTGTATGAAAGACCTACTGGAATTTCCTAAGGAATTTCCCATGTAAAAATAAATGTTAAAAATTTTTAGTTTGGTGAATCAAGTGGAGCTTCTGTACTCGAAGTCGACGCTCTTCAACATCGTGACCAGCTCAGTCTTGATATGCTTGTGCAGCTTCATTATAACGGTAATGGCTATATCCTTATGCTCAAAGATTAGTTCAATCTTATGCGTAGATAATATTATTAATGAAAATCTTAAAGCCAACTTATACCACTCGGGTTCGAATACAATTTTGAGCTTCGTTTCTTAACGAGCCGCAATACGACGAGCTCCTGTGCCAATATTTTAAGTTCATATTCAACCAACTAAAGTGCCAGGTGGATTAAACGGGTTCTCTAATATGGAGACCTCGTCTCGGCGAACCCAGTAGGTACAGTATGGAACTGTGGACTTGGGACGTAATTTGGATGCCCCCCGTTCAATGGACTGAAGACGTAAGAAGATAGAATGGTATGGAATGGAAGCATGCATGGAAGGCAGAAGCTAGATGAGACGAGCGGGTGATTGTGCCTATTTTACATCCAACAATGGAAAGCGTAAATGCCATAAGCTGAAGTGATGCTGTTGATGACGTCATTTGCACAGGTGCTGGACGAAATCATCGTGGTGGTGACGTTCGCCACGTTCCTCGTCATGAATCTATCCCAGATTTCGCTGCTCTGCTACTTTGGGGACATACTCATGCGTTCAGTAAGACAAGCTTGATTAACTAGCTTTAGTCGGGGGCTTCTCCCGCGTCAGAGGACTTCATTCCGGACTTATGAAACTTGGACATCCAATGATTTTGATCAATAGACACGCGGGAGCGTGTCAAGCCAAGTTTCCACAATGAGACGCACCGTGTGTATATTTACACGAACCACTTAGAACTACCATGGAGCTACCGCTCATATTTTATTTAACTAGTAGGTTAACAATTCCAAGCGAATTTTTATAATGTACTAACTACTATGAACTTATGACTTTTAGTATTATTTAAAAAGGTCTATGTTTTTCCAGAGCACTGAAGTAAGCTCAGCTGTGTACAACTCTTTATGGTACGAGACTGACCAGAGCGTTAAGAAGAGCATGCTCGTGATACTGATGAGGTTAGTAAGAAGGATAGTAGTTTTCTTAGGGCCTACTTATTACTAATAGCTGTAAATCCATTCCAGACTTGAAGTGGGGTAATTGGGGGACAAATATGTCTCCCCAATAGTTCTAAAGCACAACTTTTTTGAAATGGCACTTTATTCTGGTCTTAATTTTAAATTACCTGTAAATTAAGATTTTTGGTTGCAATGTGAATTGAAAAAAAATAGTTTAATTGACTTGACTAAATACGTGTCTTGCTCCCATAGAAAATCTATGGAATAGTCCCGTTTTGACAGTTTTAAAAAGTACGTCAATTGATTGGCATTGGCATTGGATTGACAAGAGAAAAGAGGGTTTTTTTAAAAAATAATTACGTGGTTAAGTATCTGGCCGTAAAAAAAAGACAGGAGCTGTTTTCTTTTCCAGCCAATTGACATTTTTTTAATGAAGACAATTCATATAACTAATTAATGTATAGAAGAAAATAATAACCTAGTTACATCGCCGACGCCGTCAACGTCAACGAGTTTCGGCGCCGTGTGATCATCGGTGCAACTAGTCATACGGGCTGATTGGGTAACTTGCGGCTTTTTAGAACATCGGACAAATAATAATAGCTGAAAATCAGTAATTACTTTACTATTTGGAAATTGAAACGTCCCGAAAATATCACTATAGGAAAAGTGCTTAACTGAGGTATGGGAGCGGCACATTGACATAATTATTATGACAGAGCATAAATATGAAGTTTCGCTGACGTTTAATCGTCACAAAAACGTCAGCGACTTTAGTTCGTTTACGGATCTCCTCATTTCTGATTCGATCTCGCAATGAAACACCGAGCATAGCCCTCTCCATAGCACGCTGTGCAACTTTGAGCTTCTGTATAAGGCCTATAGTGAGAGGCCACGTTTCCGAGCCATAAGTTATCACTGGTAACACACATTGGTTATACACTCTAGTCTTCAGGCATTGATATAATAATATGAATTCATAATAATATGAAGGGACAAATGCGAACACGAAACCTTCCCGATCCAGGACCGTAGGGAGTATAGGCCAAATCCTCCATTTGCCTCTGTAAATTAGAGAGAGTCGTGCTCCTGCAGTGGAGACTTAAGGACGAAGGTCTAAGATGGCCTAAGCTATAGTCTGGTCTGTGAGCACGTAGAATTTTGTCCAATGACCCCAAGCTACCCATCCGTATCGCTCGAGCGTAATTATGTTGCTATCGGGCTCGCACACTCACTGCGGGTGCCAGTTGCACAGCCGCGACAGAAATATAATTACGCGCGAGCGATAAGGATGGGTAGCTAGGGGTTCACAGACCGGGCTTTAGACAAAGAAACTTTCGTTAGTTTTAAGTTTGAAACAGCTTCACGGAGCAAAGTAACTACTTACAAAAATTCAGGAGTGAAACGATTTCAGGATTACTGTTGATTTGTAAACGTTTGTCTCGTGAGGCTGATGGTGTTCCAATTTGTGATTTCTGATTGTGATTTCGTTTCAGGGCCCAGAAGCCTTGCAAGCTGACTGCTTGGAACTTCGCGGACCTGAACTTGACGGCCTTCACTACTGTGAGTTGTATTAGAGCGCTTTCTCGTCACTGAATAGCTCGTCTCTTTTGCTTGCCTAGTTTCTGATAAGAGCGAAAGAGATGGAGTTTAAAATAATATCACATCGAGTAATTCCAAGTTTCTTTTTTCATGGCTGTTGCTCATGCCAGCATTTTCAGCTATACTCATTAAATGAGTACAAAAGACAATGCCGGAAATTGGCGTCTTTTTTTTTCGCGCGGCCATCGACCAAACTTTGTTTTTTGATTACAAAATAGTGTAATAAACCAAACTTACTATGACATGTATACCTCTAAACTCAGTCTGAACTGAGTTACGAGCATTAGAAGTTTGATGTTTTTCATACTAGATTTGCTTCTTGCGCGCAAAGTTTTGTAAGAAATTGCAACAAAATAGTGAGATTGTATGTGTAAACAAACAATATCATCCATTAAAGGCTCCAGACATCAGTATGGAGTAGAATCAGCGCAATAAAAAAATAGCGCAATATTTTGTTGCAATTTCTTACAAAACTTGCGCACAAAAAGCAAATCTAGTATGAAAATAATCAAACTTCTATTGCTCGTAACTCAGTTCAGACTGAGTTTAGAAGTATACATGCCATAGTAAGTTTGGTTTATTACACTATTTTGTAATCAAAAAACAAAGATTGGTCGATGGCCGCGCGAAAAAAAAAGACGCCACTTTCCATACAAAATCTGGCATTGCCATTTTGTACTTGCCGAGTTTCTGTTAGGAGCAAAAGAGATGGAGTTAAATTATTACCACATCTAGTAGTTCCAAGTTTCTTTTTTCTTGGCTGTTGCTCATGCCAGCATCCCACTATATGGGAAAGAGATGAGTGGTTATGAAAATAAAATATTAAACTGATGGTAGAATGCAAATGGAGTGAAGACTTACGAAAGGTCGCTAGCAGGAGCTGGATGCGACAAGTCAAAGACAGGGTAAAATAGCAACTAATACGTCCAGATGTGGACTATTGCATGTTGATGACGATGATAATCATGATGCCAAGCTTTATATACTCATAGGGCACGATGAATTAAAAGCGAAGCTGAAAACGACAAATCGATTACGTATTTTTCGTATTTCAATAAAATTGACATGCATCTCTTTTCTTCACAATGATGATGATGGAGAAACCACTGGATGCGTGGAGCTTAAAGCGAAGCTGGAAGCATCAAACTGATTTCTTATTCACATTTATTGTAATGGTTCGATGACATGCACATTACTATAATTTATTAGTATTTTAGGCATATTTTCACTTTCATCCAATTCCAAATGTCAAACTATGTCAAACATGATGAAACGTGAGAATGAAACCAGTTCCACGTCTCGTTCGAGTTCCGCTGGGCTGCGCGTGGACACGCAGGTGTCCTGACAGCAGCGAAGCCTTCCTACGTCCTTAGTCATAGCTTGCACAATAGCATTCTATATGTAAACACTTAACTCAGTCAGTACCTGAGGTATGGGAAGGGCACGGGTGTTTTTCAACCGACTTCAAAAAAAGGAGGAGGTTCTCAATTTGACCCGTATGTTTTTTTTTCTATGTTTGTTACGCGATAACTCCGCCAATTATGAACCGATTTGAACAAATCTTTTTTCGGCGTATAGGTAATACCTCAAGGGTGGTCCCATTTAAATTTATTAATAAAAAAAACAACCCCCAAGGGTGGAAAGTTGGGGATGAACTTTTTTATACGCAATATCTCCGCCGATTATGAACCAATTTGAACGATTATTTTTTTGTTGAATAGGTATTATTTGTGTTCACGCATTTGAAGTCGGTTTTTTTTTTTAAAGTTATATTATGTAATGTCAAAGATCAGCGATATTCCAGATCTCCTACAGATTTATGAGTATAACAGTCTGCGCCTAGGCCGCCCCGGATGCCTAGCATCAGGGGGTGACAAAAGTCGCGCAGATTAGTACTCACTACTCACTGGCGCATCTGCAGTGAGTAGTGAGTACTAATCTGGGATGCGATTGGTATCGTTTATTTATTTATTTAAAGACTTTATTGCACACACAACAATGTTCAGTACAAAAAGGCGAGCTTAATGCCATAAGTCATTCTCTACCAGCTGACCTTGAGCAAAACAGAGATATCATTACAGCTGACTCGTACTAAAATCTTTCATCTTCGAATCCTGGGCCTGGAACCTGACCGAATTTTCAGTACATTGTTTTCCGCTTTGTCATGGAGTCGAACGAAATCGTGGAAAAATAGTATTATTGTACAAATTCAAATGACTTTACCATTATCTAGAGTCTGCTGGAGATTAGATTAGAGATACAAATATTTAATTTGATTTTTCATTTACAGATACTGAGCCGGTCCTGGTCATACTTCGCTTTGTTGAAGACTATGTATAAGTAGAAGAAATACTTATTGAAGAAGATTCTTCTATAGCTTTATCATAAAGCATCTACCTACATGCACGCTAGAATGCAATGCCCATAGACCCCACAGTTCACGTTATAGGATACCCTCAATTTGTATCGCATTTAATTTTATCCATGGTATTTCATGCCAGTTATAGTTATAATTCTTGCAACTCACGAAGGCGAGTGAGCTTTACTTGTGTGTGTACGTGTACATGCACATAACGATAGTGTAATGTCTATCAAAACTTTTGAAAAACGAACAGTAGCGAGCCACTACACATGTAAAGCTCACTCGCCTTCGTAAATTGCAATAACTATAACTCACTTTGGTTGAGTTTGGTTACCATCCGAGCCATTTTAGATTTTAATAGTTCAAGTCACTTTTCGTGGAACTAATAAATGTAGTGAAATAAAACGTTGGTTTAATTTTTGACGACGACGTTTTTGAAAAACGAAATGGATTGAAATAATTCTTGGGATAGTTTCTTTGAAACAACATTATCATTTAGCCAAATTCATGAAAGTAGAGTCGAAGTAGTCGAACTCGTACCATAGTAGGTCCTGGTAGCTGGTACTACAAGTTCGACTTTAGGGGTTAGATTTTTGTTTTTATAACAATTTAAAATTTGAAACATTTTCCTTATTCTTGCAGTACGTTCTTCATACAGCCTTGGTCTGAATAAGCAGTCATAAAAACGCACTGAAAGCTCTAAAAGCCAAGTTGGGCACTAGACGTGAGACTATTCCGTGTCGGGGAACTAAAAAGCCGATAGCGTTTGAGGGTTAACAAACATAACCTTTGCTTATACAACAACCCTTATTTTCATCTCCATAGAATTCAAAATTGCCAAGACACTTCCCCAGCTTGACATCTCTATTCCCGCAAAAATAAAACTGCGTTTGTTGCGGTTCGTACGTCCATGGGATAACGTCGTTTTTTGAATGGACGCGATCGCACTCTGGTTATAGCCTCTAAAGCAATGATCGTAAGAGCGTGTTCGAAATTTGAAATTCTAGACCGAATGGGGCTGCTGGTGGGCAAACTGGAATATGCAGTGGTGATGAACGTTATGGTGAAGGGTTAAGGTGTATTTTCTAGTGACTTGACTGGAGAATTATGTCGGCGAGGGGACATGACAGCGGGTACCCGTGTGCGACGGCATGCAACGTGCTGGCCGATATACAAGAGATTAAATAAAGAGATAGGCTTTGCAGTCCGGTTGCCGTAATAAATAATCAAGTGGTTTGCGGTGGAGGAATAATAAATCTAATGTACTCGTATAAGGCTAAAACTTGATTTTTGTACAAAACAGGCCATTCTTGCAGACCTTGCAAAAATCTTGCAAAAGTTAACTCTTATAAGGTTGAGTTGCACCACCTTAATTTAACCGTAACAATAACATTATCCGTTGCTTTTGTGGAGTTTGACAGATTTTTGACGTTTGTCAAAGTTAAGGTAGGTACGATGGTGCAACTCAGCCTAAGTATTTTTTAAAGATGGTCCTTTCTACATCGTATAGGATTTCGGATAATACATTGTTCTTGTTCTTGATGGATGTATCTATCTACACTTAGACAGTCATCTACACATAAAGACGAATGCGTAATAATGTCGAGTATCTGTCTATCTCTACTCTACCATTTGTAAAAAATTCAGTGTACATTAAATCAATCCATAATAATTCATACAAATCTTTCAATACACATTTTTTTCCAAAAGACAAAATGTTATCAATCCCAAGATCAATCCCGAGAAATTCCCCTCTTGTATCCCCAACCGGCCGGCGTCGGACTCCGTCTGACATGAGGCAGGCGGGGCGCGCGCCCGTCTAAGTTTTTGTCCCGAGTTTTTTTTCAACTTTTCCCTCGTGAAATCTGTATCGCACGATACACGAACTCTTTTCGTGCTCTTAAAAAGTTCCACAGGCTAAATCGGACAACTGCCAGTGTGAAAGAAGCTGACGCTGGATGCCTTTGCGTGAAAAAACTTTCTCAATGGATGCACGTAGGCTTTTGGTGCACGAAATCGAGTACGGTCACGATGATGTCCTATAAACTGAACCAATAAATTATTTTTCTTTCTTTCTTTCTATAAAGATCTGCTACGGTATTTTTGTGTTATTTTGTCTGAAGAATTACTTTGGAATACTCACGTACACCAACACTTTTGGCTAACTCTCTCGCTAAATACTTGACTCTACTAGGTTAACCTGATATCCTCCTATGTTATTCTGATTAATTTCGTTGCGGGTCCAATGACAGTTTAACTTTCCCTCGAGACAAACTTGACCTTCACTGGTTGGGTTTTTATTGGCGGTCAAGCTGTATCCTGGCTACACAGGAGTTGCAGAGGTGGGAACGAGAGGTAATAGTTCCGTACTAGGTATTACCTATCAATGCTATTTTCGGCCACACTTTTACAAAACCGAATGTATGTCCATCTTCTTTACTTGTCTGTCACAGTCATTTGCTTCTGATTTTATGTCACGAGTCACGCGCGTAGTAAACAACAACGGATTGTTGAAACAAAAAGCGCGCGCATTGTCCACAGACAAAAGACTGCAAATTAATATGGCCGCGATTGTTCGAACATGAATATTCAAGTATTCACGCATTTGTTTGCATATTATTGTCTCTGTCGCGATTATTTCAAAACATACCTGCGGTTTTTTGGGGCTGCGCAAAAATGATTTGGTAGCTACGTAGGTACAGATTTTTTAATCCTGCTCCGAACTGGGAGTTCCTAATTTCCGAACCCCTAGTTAACCTACCCTTTTTTCCCGGAATAAGACATCATCGTCATAATTTCAGCCACAGGACGTCCACTGCTGAACATAGGCCTCCCCAACGATGTCCACATCGCCCGGTTGGTAGCGGCTGCATTCAGCGCCAGTTATGACATTGGGGACTGCAGTTTATGTCGCTACTTGGCGAATGGTAATCAGCGTCATCGTCAAGTTTATTTACTACTAGCTGACCCGGCGAACTTTGTACAGCCTATGTTATGGGTATCAGTGTTACGGGAGCTGAAAAGAACTCAACTCTACCTACTAGAAAAGAACTTACAGATTTATAAAAATAAGTATTTAATAAATGGCAGTGAATCGTTTTGGGAGTCAGAAAAGTCAAGGTAAGTCAGTCACCGGCGACAAGCAGCAGCTATTTAAAGGCACTACATAATGTAACCTATTATGTGATAGGTCATAATAAAAAGCAAGTTCCTGTTTCTTCTATTTTGGTGGTATAGGTAGGTACACTTTTTCGGCAGCCCAGCCACTGATTCTAGGGTCCGTTTATGAAAAGGTAGTGTTTAGTGACCTACTTAAAGAATTATTTTATTTGGCAGAAATAGAAAATAAGCAAGTATACACACATAGAAAAAGAAATACAAATAATTACAACAACTGTTTAATGCTTAGACCACTGACCAACATATTGATGACCTAATCTTGAGAGTAGAGTTTAGCTATTCATAGGTATTTGACATTATACTTCAGTATTTACTTTTTGTCAAAGAGTTTGTATAGGAACTCAGGCATGATTGATTCCCCATACTTTTCATCCCGTTTTTTCACGACAAAACGTACTCTACATCCCGTCCCAAACATCTATAAATATCTATACAAAAATTCATCAAAATTGGCACAGCGGTTTACCATAGCACAATGGAACTAAATCATCATCTTACCCACATAAGGAAGACGTCTCGGGCCATTCTCAGAAGCTTGCATCTGTCAACCACACAAAGAGTTCGCGGGGTGTCCAGTGATGTATCTATTTGTGCCGGAATCACCCATGCTTTCACATAAATACGTCAAACCCACCAACGTCCTGTTGGTGGGTTTGACGTATTTATGTGACGTCACTACGTCAGTGATCGATGACATGAATTAAGATTTGGTGGAAGATTTGTAAGGTTTTGGAAGTGCCCATGTTTATCGTTTAATAAAAAATACGGATTCTGGGTAATACTTTTGTGTTCCTTTATAAATCTTGAAGAATATTCTAAATTCTTAAAATACATCGGTCCGACGAAAAGATGCTTCAAAATTTGATCCAATGGAGTATGTGTGAGAGGATGAATTTCAATATTTACACCGATAGCATAAATCTATTCCTAAATGTAGAGTCACGTTTGAGTGTCATATAAGTAATTAAGTGGTAGGTCTTAAGTAGTCACTCACTATAACTACTGCCTATAAAAATATGTAAATCACGCCTCTATAAGTCCATCATATTATTTAGTTATGTGCTATTCCCCAAGAATAAATAGGTAGTTACAAATTCAGCTACTCGATTATAATCAAAAGATAAAATATCGAATCTTGTTTGATATTTTTATTATATTAAGCAATGTTAATTGACCATTTCACGCATTCTCAAGTCTCATTACTTACCAATCAATTAAATTGAAAATTTTATTGTACACGTATCTCACTCTTGAGTCATCTTTACTATTTATTGTTAAAATTGCTAACTCGATAAACAATATTAAATAAACAAAATTCCACACATTATACTAAACATTTGCATTTTTTCCGTAAGACAAATGTCAAAAATAATTATTGGGGCGTCCCCCACAGGTTAATAACTCACTCGCCCCACGGTTCATTAATAATTAAAAAATGCAGGCGTAATATAACTTACAAAACTCTACCCCCAAAGAACAGGTTTCTCTATAATTTATGGTCCGTCAAAAAAAGTGCGCGTGTGTGAGTAACTCGTGTGGCGTAGAGTGTAGTCAGTTTCGTAGAGTTCGCATTTTTAAGTAGATTTAAGTAAATATTTATTAGAAAAATTATTAATAATCAAATAAATTCTTTAGCGTTTACTACGTACCTAATCACAGAAAGTATGGTGATAGAAATAGACATAAAACCTCTTTGGTTCATTGGAGAAATACTGCACCTTTTTAATACCCATATAGTTTCCATGTAACATGCTGTTAAAAAAACTGCATCTTAAAAAAGTATTTTTTTTTTGCCAAAAATGCAAAATGGCCAGTACTTACTCTTAAAAAAAATGTATTGTTCGAATTTGAAATGCGCCAGTTCTATTCGAATTTCAAACGTGTGTGCGTGTGTGAATTCACTTGCCGAACGCGACGGGGGGCTGGGCAAAGGGTGTGCGTGAACTAATTTCGTAGGGCTGATGCGTTTTAATATAAAATATTAAAACCTGTTTTTGGGCGTAGAACCGGGTGCCTCAGCAGGGAACCCACGCTTTTCGCTTGCGGTAATTTATGTAGCTCAGTGGGTAAGCAGCTTAAGAAGTTAGAAGATACGTTTTCGAGCGAGTTTTTTATAGATATTTTTAATATACCTACGCACTAAGCGCAAAATCAAAATGCAAATTCTCAATGATCATAATATGTAACACAAACTTTTAAATACAGAGCT